GTGTTCTGCCACAGTTGTCCCCTGATTGATGAGGATTACGTTGTTAGAGGACCTGAGAATTATGAAAAACCACCAATTTCAGATATGGTCAAAAAATGCCATAAATGCCTATTTTTATAGTTTAAACCCTATATATGTTATGTCTCCCACAGTTATATAATTTAATAAAATACTGTATACAATACTGTAATAACTTAATAAAAACACTGTGCAGTACTTCAATCTTCGCTGAAAGTATCTTAAACTACTTAAATTCGTTGGCCCTTAAATTCATTGCCAGAAGGCTTAGAAGGTGCAGGGTGTTTTGGCAGCATCTCAGGATCTTAGGGCTTTAAAAAGAACAAAATCAAAAACGTTGAAGACAGCTACATATAGTACAACAAGCTATCTTAATGCAAGAATGGTGGCACATCTACCAGAGATGGGTTAAAGGGCAAGGGCCAATCAGCAACAAGGAGAACTGAATAACATTCTTAGATTGGCTACTTGTAAACCTCCCAACAAAAAAAAAAAAAATTACAGAGGATAGTCACAGTTTCCAGGAAATTGTGGGGGTTTCCTGAACAATTCTTTCTTAGGTTCTAAGGAAAACTCCACGAAAGACTGAGGCCACAAACTCTAAACCATAACTTTGCAGGGCATACTGTATACCGTTTAGTTTCCACACATATGCATAATTTCTGTATTTTCTTTTGTCATTGATTTCTACTTTCATTGTGCAATGATTTGATAATATGCATTGCATACCTGGTTTTTTTGGTTCTCATTGCATAGAATTTTGTTTTCCACCCTTTGATTTTTGGTCTATGAGTTTCTTTTTGGAGTACACATGTTTCTTGTATACAGCATATCAACGGATTTTTTTCTTGATCCATTTTGCTATTCTGTTTGTTGATTGGGGAACTGAGCCCATTCATGATGAGAATTATTACTGAGAGGCACTGACTTATTCCTGCTATTACCTTATTTTTCTATTGTTGATTTCCTATCTTCCTTCTACTTAGCTGCTCACTCTACCTGGTGTATTCATTCTATTAGACCTTTCATTCTTAGCTTCAATGTCCCTTTCTAGGATATCCTTCAGAATTTTGGAGTGCTGGCTTGGTGATCATGAATTTCTGTAGACGGTCTTCATCAAGAAAATATCTTATTTCTCCATCAGTTTTAAAAGTTTTCAGGATATATCAGCCTGGACTAGAAATTATTTTCTTTTGGAGATGGGAACACTTCACACCAAGCCCTTCCTGCCTTGAAGGGCTGCTATAATTCTGATCGGCTTACTTTTATAAGTGAATCATTGCTTTTTTCTAACTACTTCTAAGATTCTGTTCTTGTGTTGACTTCTGGGATTTCAACTATCATGTGATGTGAAGATGTTATTTGCTGATGGTGGCTATTTGGAGGTCTATGTGCCTCACTTACTGTATGTTAAATTTGGTGTCCCTGACTTAGAAAATTTTCTGCTGCTAGTTCAGTAAACAGGTGTTTTATGCCACTTGAAACATCTACTAATTTTTCAATAATAATCCAATTAATCTCAGATTAGTCTTCTTTGCACTATGTAGGAGCTGCTGGATCTATTTTTCATGTTCTCTTGTTTCTATGGTTTCTCTCATTAACTGGTCACTAACAATAGCACTGTCTTCTCATTCTGATACTCTGTCCTCACACTGGTCACTTCTGATACCCATATGTTTGACAGAACTTTTAATCTCCTGAATTTATATTTTGAACCATTTTATAGATTTCTACTACTTTTCTATGCTGGTCATTCGTGTTTTGCATTGCTTTATTTAGCTCTGCTACCTTTTTATTAGGGTCTTTTTTAGACTCACTGATCCTTTTATTGGACTCAGTAGTTTATCACTTATATCTTCTATGAGCTAGTCAAATGCCTTATTGATCTATTTTGATTGTCTCCCTTGATATCATTTCAAATACCTGGGGTGTATAGCTTTAGCTTTCTTCCTCTTCAGTGTCCCATAGACCAGTTTTCGAAGGCATTTTGTTGATTTAGCTTCTCATATTTCTATTTTTGTTTGTTTTTGTGTTGAGGCTTATGAATTGATTGTAGTGAAAAGTTTTATTTCTAATATACGGAACTCTTTAATTAATGTCTACTTTTCAGTGGTATCCTCTGGTTATGGCTAACTATTGGCCCTTGCCTTTGTCACAGGGTCCAACCATCTCTATTTGCTTGAGATAGGAGGATGTATTGTATTTGGCCCAGTATCCAGTCCTCTAGGAATAGACCACAATGCTGTTAATGACCCCAAGATAATCCAGACATTAGCCTCCCAGGAAAACTAATTAATAGCAATACCTATGTTACTTTTACTACAGCAATAAAATCAGCATCAATTATAAAGCCAAATACAAACTAAGTATGACAAATACTAAGGACTCATAATGTTCTACCCTTAAGCATAGAAAAGAGATCTAATAATTATAGTATGAACACTAAAACAAACCAAATATTGACCTACTATTAACCTACAGTGAATAGGCACTAAATGGAACAACACTACCTATACTAACAATAAACCAGTATTCAATAGCAATAGTGTAAAGCTAACTACCTATCTAGAGATTTATAAAGCTTAGTAGATATACTAGTAAAGGTCAAGAGGGTCAGGAAGTACAGAATGAAAAAAAATTGAGAAATTAATCAACAATATGAGAAGAAGACAGAAGAGAGATATGAATGTCCTACTGAGGATAAAAAGAAAGTAATGTTCTCTACTAGAAAACAGGCCCAGTGGGGTAGAGCACACGTGTAATCCCAGCACTTGGGAGGCTGAGGCAGGAGGATCTTTGTGAGTTTGAGGCCAGCCTGGGCTACATAGTGAGCTCAAGGCCAGCCTGAACTGCATAGCAAGACCCTGTCTCAAAAAGACCAAAAAAAAAAACCAGTAGCAGAAGAAAACAAACAAGAAAAAGAAGAAAAAAACCCAGCAAAATACAGGAAATATAATAAAGATAGGAAGGAAAAAAGCCTGAAAGGGGAAAAGAAAAAAGGACAGAAACTAAAAGAGCCCCCTCAAAAGGAGGAAAACCTCAACCCCTAAAAAACCCAAAGAAGAAAATATAGAAGTAATTAAAAAAAAAAAAATCAGATGAAAAAAGGTTAAATCAAAGGAAAAAAAATCCCTGTATGAGTAGCTTCTTTCCAAGATCTTCAGTCTTGGGATCAAGCCAGTCACAATTTTCTCCACCTAGAAGTAGGGCCTGTAAGTTTTTAAGGTACCCTCCCTGCAACAGAGGAACCTCTGTCTATTCACCCTGACTGTAGTTATCCAAGTCAAGGCATGTCCTTTGCTCATGTTGGCAGACAAAAAACCAAATCAGCCCTCTGGTCTCTGCTGGATATAGTCCATGTGGTGGGGGTGCAGGTGGACTGTTGCACTGAACGTTAACAGTCACTGGGTCTGACTCTTCCCTTCTCTCCCTAGGCAATGTCCTTGTCCAGGATGAGGTGAGTTGGTTAGTCTTTGGATGGAGAGTGCTTGCCCGGAGTGGTTGGAGGGACATCTACATACAACCCATAACACTAGATATCATGAGTTGAGTGGCTTTCATCTGCCATGATGTTCCTGCCTTGCTGCCAATCAACCATAAACTGCAACCTCTGAAACTATGAGCTAAAATAAACCTTCCCTCCTTTAAGTTGCAGGCATCATATATTTTATCACAACAATGGAAAGCTGACCAATACAAAGTATGACAACACAAGAATAGACAACTTTCTGGCCAACCAAGGTGTCAAAAAGGTAGAGAAGCAGAGAGATGAGGCTGGAAATAAGCAAGGAGCATCCACTGTGGATGTGAACCAAGGGCCTGACATACTCAGTTATATCCTAGTCAGAAAATACAGTGGCTCGAAGGTCTGAGAGGAGCAGAGAGGAAAACTAGAGTGATCCAAAAAGGGACAGAAGAGTTGAAAGATAGCGAAAATCTAATGCGAATACACATGAGAGACAGTATCTAAAAATGACAAAAAAACTAGAAGTCAAGAGACCAGGATTCTAGATGGGGAAATTCTTTTCCTATCTTCCTTTCTTGTTGCCTCAGGGTCTGCTATATATAAGCAGGTGCTACAGATATGATATGGTCTTGTTCCTCTATGTTAAAAGAATTTATTCTAATAGGAAGAAATAGGTGAATATTTATTATTTTTGCTGACCCAGCATGCCTACTATTTTTTAATTACCTAGCTTCTTCCAAGACCCTAGAAGCTAAAGACCACACATCCACTGAGCCATATGAATGCTTCTATGCTATCAGGTAAGTATCTATGCAGGATGAAGTCACAGAGAAAAAACCCTAACCAAAGAAACTGAAAGAAAAAAAAATAGTGATCCAGTAACAATTTTCGACAGGATGGATGGATTTAGCTATGTACACTCAGATTTCTAAGTGAAGCCACACTTTTTTTTTTTTTGCCACAATGAATTTGATTTGCATTGCTGTCACTTGTAATGGAAGAGTGCTAATGAATTCAAGGACAGACACAAAAGCCTGTAATTGCTATATAATGTAATAAGTGCTATAGTAGAGTTATTTACAAACTATAAGTAACACAGAGGAGAATACAAGTTAATTTAACTTGTAGGTAAGGTAGGTGGGGGAAATTTTCACTAAGGAGACAAGGTTTACCTGAACTCTTAAAAGAATTAGCCACCTAACAAGAGGATAAGGGGATAAAGTTTATACTATGCATTAAAAAAAAATAAGCATGAGCGGAGACAAGAAAGCAGGAAAGGTGATGCAATGTTCGGGGGTGGGGAGAACAGTGCAGTACGCGACAGCACCAGTCAGGTCACACAGAAAGCAGACTGTGAAGGAATTTGTACACTTGGTATGTGACCAGCAGTCACTGGGTGATCAACTCAGACCTACTTGCCTTTCATTTAATCTCACTAAACCAGCAGATTTACAGGTAAAAGAAGGAAAATCAGAACATATCACTACCAAATGACAAAAATACTAAAATGTCTTACCTGCTGATAGAATTCATCATCTTTGGGAGTCAGATAAGGAAGCCAAGTATCTTCAAGCTCCTCAAGAAGCTTCAGTTTCTGTTTTAAAATAATAATAATAACATATGACTGAATATAAAAGGACCCCAAAATAAGATAATGTCTTATTTTTCCAATAAGAGAATACAAAAATGCATGCCAAACTTGAATGTATAAACTTTTAGGGATAGAAATTGGTCAAACACCAATTATGAAATGCATTCATTGAATTGCACATATTTTAACCTACACATTGTATGAAGCTTTAATTTTTATTGTCATTCCCATTTCATGAGACAATATGACCCATTCTTCACATACATCTTTGGTATCAGGGTCTTTTTCACTGGGGTCACTTTTTGAGTCATCCAATAGTTTTCCAGAACAAGTCATCCAATGTACCTCAGATATAGTACTTTTCATCTCTTCTATGGTACTATCACTGGAAATACCAAACTAGGTCACAAGTACCTACTTGCATAATCTCAGGGTATTTGAAATATTTATTCACCCCATAAACATTTATTTTATCATACCCACATACAGTACTGTTTTTTTAAAGTGACCTTTCACCTCTACAGGAATCTCCAAACCTGTGTTTAAGCCTCTTTGCTTCCCTTACTTTCCAGTTTTATGAAGCACACTTGTTAAACAACCATAGCTAGCCCTGCCTGAGACTGTTTCAGAATACTATGTCTTCCTCAAACAGTATTTTCCTGTTCAAACAAAGTGAGAGCGTCCCGTCATATAAGGCACTTTAAAAGGAATCAAATATATTTAAGGTCACTCTCTTCTTCTGAGGAATTCTTTTTAAATGATACCTGACCTTATATTCAAGCATGTATGGAGTCTCTGTGTATGTGTGTGATAGATAGATAAGTAGATAGGTAGATAGATAGATGGATAGATAGATAGATACAGACAAATGTGGATAGATATATACACACTAATTAGTTATAACAAAAACAAAATTGGCAGAAACAACTGGTTTTCAAATGAAAGTACTAAAATGACTGCATTATCAAGGCTATGTTTAGCCAGTAAGGTATCATTCTAAGAACTGCAGCACTGCACACCTTGCTCTGTGCAAGTGCAGCCCCACCTAATGGAGTACAGCTTGGCAAACCCTAACTGCACCTCAGTCTTACTCGCTCCCACAGTCTCTACACAGTACACAACCTGAGTATACAACCTGACAGGACCAGAGTCCTGTCTTCTTCCACCCTGAACTCAGCATAATTAGACTATTCCAGAACAGATCATTTTGGTTCTGTAAAACTCCAACTCTTTCTGGACCTTTTTAATCATAATCCAAAGTAAATTTAAAGAGAAAAGGAATACAAACAAAGCAAACACTTGATCTACATGAAACAAAACAATGAATTCTACTCGTCAATGTAATCCTCACCTATTTATTTAATTAAAGCCCTCTGTTTTGATGGTGGATATTTTCCCACTTATAATGGTAAAAGTGACTGGCCAGTTAACCTCTGAACAGTTTTCTCTTACTAAGGACCTATAATACTAACTTAGCACAAACCACAGTATGGGTAATTCAGTAATTGGTTAATTGGTTTATCTGCTTTCAATATTAACTCTTTTGGCAGCATAAAAAAAACTAAAGATATTTCCATGCATACATTGTACTTGCATATTTATGCATGCCACTACTAATTTAATCAAAAATCTATACTTCAATTTTTATTTTGAGCTCAGAAAAGCCTATATTTTCCTATATACTTTTGACCAGTTCTTAGAAATTTTTATAAACACTCAGTGCTAGAATATTTATAAATGTCACCAAAAAATGTAAGCCTTGAATAATTTAAAACTCTATTTATAAATATCACCTTAAAAGCTCTTCATGAGAGTCCATCAATAAAGCTGATTTGTGTAAAAGGAGGAGCACAAAGGTACAGACTCCCCAAAGAAATTACACTCTCCATCTAAATCAGATTAAACACCAATAGATATGTCCCACAGGTCAACAAGTGTCAATGGTGGCTGAACTCTGTATATAATTAATGTTTCAGCTAAATTATTGTGAAATAATCACTTCTCAGTTCAAATGAGATTAGAGCATCAGACAAGTATAAAACATTGTAACTCAGAAGGATATCAAAAGAAAAAAATTCTGCAAGAATGTTCGCACTGTAGAGCAAAGGGAATAGAAATGGCCTTCCTCCACGAGGAAATTTTAATGCTGTGATCACTATATCTACATGACAAGGGAGAACGGGGATCAGGACACCACTCAACTTAAGACAACACAGATGAAATCTGCTCTGTATATCAGTCACTACTTGCAATTTTACCATTTAACTGACAGGATCAATTACAAATAACAATATTTATGAACTTAAAAAGAAGTTTGGGTCATGTTCACATGGTAAAAGCAATCAGAAATCAATGTTAATTTACATCAGTAATTCACAAACATCAAAATTTCAAATTGTGATTGCTTTATAAAATTAAAAATTGCTTTTAAAAAGCAAAAAGTAAATGTAAGAGTAAATGAAATGGGTCCTGTCATACTTAGCTATCAAAAGTATGAAACAGTACAGCACCTGTGAAGGCAACTCACAATTCCTTTCAAAATTCAAATACTTTTATCTTTTGACCCAGAATCATGCTTCTGAGGATTTATCCTAGGGATATACCTTTAGCATGGTTCAGATGAATGTACAAGGTTACTCACTATGCCATTAATTGTAAAATAAAGCCTAAGAACATAAAAAAACCATTGAGCTGAACATTTTTAAATGGTGAATTTTATGCTATGTGAATCATCTCAATAGAGCACAAAGATTAGAAACAATGAACTGTTCATCCACAGAGAACAGTGAAATAAACTAAGGTACTTTGACACTGTGAAATACATTGCAACAGTAAACAAAAACAGCCCTATTCATAAAAGAAAAGGCTCTGCAGGAGTTAGTGGGAAGTAAAACAGTAAGATACAACATCTGCTTGTATTCACATAAAAAATATAGGATATGCGACAAACTATTAAAGTGCATCTGTTGGAGCTGGGGATTTAGCTCAGCGGCACAACACCTGCCTGGCAAGCACAAGGTCATCAGTTCAATTCCCAGTACCAGAAAAAGCCAAAAAAACAAATAAATAAATAAAGTGCATCTGTTAAAATCAGAGGCAGGAAATCACTAGAAAGGGACAGGAGAGGAACCTCTTCAAAATAATCTATTTAATTTTCAAACAATGTAACCATATGAACTATTCAACATATTATCTATTACTTATTCAAACATTACCTATTAATTCTCAACATGGAATTCAATCCCAAAAGAAGAGCTTGTGACTTTTTTTTCTCTACTTTAAAAAGTACATACACTTTCATCCGTGTACAGTAAATAAAGTCTTTATTTGGGAAACTATCATAGACTAACACACTAAAGAGTGAAGAGAGGAGAAAGCAGCTCTGACAGTTCCTTTGTGTCAAATGCCAACTGGCAAGTAAACACACACAGCATTAAAATGCACTCTGAGCTGAAGGTGGAAGGGCTCACACTTGATTGTCAGGTCTGGCTAACCGCTGCTCTCCAGCCTGATATACGGATAAATCCACACAGCTGGGCCCCGCAGCACACTGCTCTGCCCACACACTTCTTTTCTGTCACACGCGTGTCAAATACATCAAGCTGCTCACAAATGCCACACAGAAAGCCAAAGGGAGTGCAAGGCCTCAGCTCTCCCACCTGGCGGGAGGGGGCTATGGAGACCTTTCATGCGGAGTCCTGCCCACTCATTTCCACAGCTCTAGCCAGTAAATGGGACACGAGACCTTACATAAAATGCACTGCAACTGAAAACCATAAAGGTTCACGAAAAGTCAGATGCCAGAAACTTTACTCTAGACTTAAACCTCTGCTTTCAGTGTGAGACGGTGTATCTGAGCTTCCATATCTTGCCAAACAAGACAGGCTTTGCGAGTCTTTTAGTAATTCCATTAAAAGGTTAAGTGGATTATGACTCACAGTTCCAGGGTATAGCTTACCTACAAATGACACATAATTCTGTCCCACTCCTGTCTCTTCAGCTTCATTACACTATTCTGCTAACAACTCTTACTCTTTCTCCCTTTTTCATTCTCCACATAGTAGTTTTTAAATGCATCATATTGTCAGGTTCAATATAAATTTAATTTAGTTATCTGAGTCCTTTCAAAATACAATCACAGATAGAGGCGAGTGAATGTTCACTGTGAACATAAAAATGTAATCTCGTGAAAGTTTCGAGCCCATGGTAAGACTGACCTAGTCCTTCAGCAGGGCGTAACTGGGTGAGGAAGACACCTCCAAATTAACACCAGAGAGATCAGTAAGAAGTACCTAAGCCTAAGTCAGTTCAGATAAATTTTATATATAATATAATGTGCATTTATTTAAAATTTTACAAATGTTCAAGTTTCTCAACCATTTCAATAAGCTTAGCGTTTCCTGTCCTATTCTCCATAAAAACATGGCATAATCAAACAGAATGTGAAGGCCAGAGTGAACTGCGGAGGACAGAGTCTGTAACTCCTAAGTGTCGTGCCATACCTGAATCAATTTCTTTCAGCATCAGCTTTCTAATCTTTAAAAAATCATGTTTCATGGGATTTGGGGGAAGAAATAAAATTAATTACACGCTAATGTACTTTGAAAAATATGAACTAGGTAAATATTAGGCAAATGGCATTCAAGTGGGGGTTCTGGGTAACAAGGCAAACACTAAGAAGCCGAATTCCAGAGTTCAAAGGCTAGTTCTCCGGTTTAGTTACAAGACGCATTTGTTTCTCATCCATGAGCTGCAAAGGAAGTAACACAGATAAAGATCTAAGAACAGTCTCTGGGCACATAAAAAGCCCTCAAAATTTTGCCACTATTAATTCATGACTATAAATAGTTTTAATTGCTAGCTATAAATTATCTACAATAGAATTTATGTGAAACCCATATAATTATATTTTAAGGCACAGATCAATGTTACTTGACAAATCCAGATACTGTATTAATTGCCTGAATGAACTGCAAGAAAAAGTTATAAACACTCTTCTTACA